AGAGCGACGCCAGCTCGGCAACTTATCCCCTTGCAATTGCAGCCATCACGGGCACCACATGCACGGTGCCCAACATCGGATCCTCGTCGCTACAGGGCGACGCGCGCTTTGCAATCGATGTACTCCAGCCTATGGGCTGCACCGTTCAGCAGACCGCATCATCGACAACAGTCACGGGACCAGCTCCTGGTGGATTGCTAGGCCTTCCGCATGTGGATATGGAACCGATGACTGATGCGTTCCTGACGGCGAGTGTGTTAGCAGCGGTGGCCGCCGGGACCACTAAAATTAGTGGCATCGCCAACCAGCGAGTCAAGGAGTGCAACAGAATTGCAGCCATGCGAGAGCAGCTGGGCAAATTTGGCATTGCTACAGACGAATTTGACGATGGTATCATTGTGACCGGACAGCCTCTGGATACTCTCAAGACCCCCGATGCCGGAGTTTTCTGTTATGATGACCATCGTGTTGCCATGAGTTTCAGTGTTCTGTCTACAGTGGCTAACGCCCCGGTCACGATACTCGAACGCGAATGCACAGGGAAGACCTGGCCGGGTTGGTGGGATACTCTGTCGCAGTCTTTCGGCCTTCGCCTTAACGGAGATGACAAGCATCCTGGGGTCGAAGGTCGCCACCAGCAGGATCACACGACTCGCTCAGTCTTCATCGTCGGCATGCGAGGTGCAGGCAAAACCACGACTGGAAGGTGGATGGCCAAGTTATTGAAACGACCCTTCATAGATCTTGATGAAGAACTTGAGCGAAGGTCAGGCATGACCATCCCCGAGATGATACATGGCACGAAGGGATGGGAAGGCTTCAGGCGTGATGAGCTGCAATTGCTCCATGACGTCATGGAGAATCAAGCAAGCGGCCACGTTTTTTCATGCGGTGGCGGCATTGTCGAATCGCCAGAGGCCCGAAAACTTCTCATTGCCTACAAAGAGAAAGGCGGCTGTGTGCTGCTGGTGCACCGGGATACGAAGCAAGTGGTTGACTATTTGCTTCAAGACAAAACACGTCCAGCTTATCGCGAAGACATCGAAGATGTCTATTACAGGAGGAAGCCACTGTACGACGAGTGCAGCAATTTCCAGTACTTTAGCCCACATCCGGCTGCTTCCGTGGCTTCCAGGGACGCGCCGCTGGACTTCAGATGTTTTGTAGATGCCATCTGCGGTGACGGTTCGAAGGTCACCAAGATGACGGCCAAGGAACAAAGTTTTTTTGTTTCACTAACGGTGCCTAGTGTCGATTCTGCTGTCGATGTCATCCCGCAAGTTGTTGTCGGTTCAGACGCTGTCGAACTTCGGGTCGATCTGTTGCAGGATCAAACTCCGGAATCGGTTGCGAGGCAAGTGTCAGCTTTGCGGTCTGCTGCAGGGATGCCCATCATCTTTACCCTACGAACTGTGTCTCAAGGCGGTTGTTTTCCAGATGCGGACCATACGCAAGCCCTCAGCCTTTACATACTTGCACTCCGCATGGGGGTTGAATTCATCGACCTAGAGATGACGTGGCCAGAGCATATCTTGCAGACCGTCACAAATCTCAAAGGCCGATCACGGATCATCGCATCGCATCACGATCCACGAGGTGAGCTCTCCTGGAAGAATGGATCATGGACCCCTTTCTACAATCGCGCACTGCAGTGGGGCAGTGTAATTAAGCTGGTCGGCACGGCACAGTCGATGGAGGACAATTATGATTTGGCGAGATTCAAGTCCGACATGCTCGCATCTCATCCAACGCCTGTCATTGCTCTCAACATGGGTGCTCTTGGCAAGCTCAGTCGCGTGTTGAATGGGTTCCTCACGCCCGTGTCCCACCCAGCGCTCCCTTTCAAAGCGGCACCTGGTCAACTGTCAGCTGCTGAAATCCGCCGGGCGTTATTCCTACTCGGAAACATAAATGCTCAGTCCTTTCATCTTTTTGGCAAGCCCATCTCGAAATCAAGATCGCCCGCACTTCACAATTCTCTGTTCAACCTGACCGGGTTGCCCCACAAGTATGGTTTGGTTGAGACGGACCAAGCGGATGAGGTCGCGGCCGTCATTCGCGAGCCTGATTTTGGCGGCGCGTCAGTCACCATTCCACTTAAGTTGGATGTAATGCCGCTTCTGGATGAAGTCTCTGAATCAGCAAAGGTTATTGGTGCCGTCAACACAATCATCCCTATGCCCCTTGATGGAAGTCAGAAACGCCGCCTTCTCGGCGACAACACAGATTGGCGGGGCATGGTGCATTGCCTTGAGTCCATCGGCGTGGCTTCTGAATCGACTGCAAGCACAACGACAGCTTCTGCGCTGGTGATTGGCTCGGGTGGCACAACGAGAGCAGCTATCTTTGCTCTGAAGTCTCATGGCTACCACCCTATCTACATGCTGGCGCGTAACGAGCAGAGCCTCGAGACCATTCGAGCGTCATTTCCGACTGACTTTGACCTTCGAGCACTCGGGGGTCCTGCCGAGGTCTTCACGTTGGCCGTAGCGCCCACCGTGGTCATCAGCACAATCCCTGCAGACAAACCCATGGACCCATCGCTGCGTGAAACACTCGAGGTTGTGTTGAAAAGCCCTGTGAGCGAACAGAGAACCCGTGTGCTGCTGGAAATGGCATACCAGCCGCGTCATACTGCGGCAATGCGCCTAGCTGAGGATGCGGGCTGGCGTACGATTCCTGGTGCAGAAGTACTTGCTGCGCAAGGATGGCACCAAGTAAGTGACCCAAAGACTACAGGAACGTGACTTGTAATTTCCTTTTACAGCCTGCTGATTCACATTGTACAGTTCCAAATGTGGACAGGCATCACACCCCGATTCATCGACGCCCAAGCAGCAGTGAACGGTGACGAGATTCCAACATCCACCGACTAGCCAAAATTTCATTGCGCTGGCTTTAACGGAATGTGTGGACGACGATTGATTGCGAAGTGCACATGGAAACTTATCTCTGCCAGCTCTGAACGCTACGCATCTATAAACACCCTAGGTGTCCTGCCTTACATTGGGGGAACGTTTCGAATCCCCACATCACATTGCTCAATCAGTATAGGGTGTATTTATTACGCGTCCGACTTCCAAACTCGAGGCAGAGGCAGTGTTCTCTAGATAAGTCGACAATGCACAACTCGTAAATTGATTATATGGCGTCTATGTCTCAAATCGTAGTATCGTTCAACATAAAATCCCGCTCACAGATCGCTTTTATCATGGACCAATGTCCTGTTCTATGCCTCCCAAATTCAAAGTACAACCATTGTAACATCTGTGTCGCCGCGTCTGGCGCAACTAAATCATCAAAACTTTCGTTGAGCACTAAGCACTCCATTTTCGTTTTTTTTGGCGAGACAAGTGAATATTGTACAAATTATTTTGCCGTCGAACTGTACGGAGACAAATGCTCCGGATAGTATCGACTCATGAGCTTTCTCATCGCACCACCGTGGGCGCGTGAAATTGGTGTAAGAGATCTGTGGCACCAATCGACGTCATGACGCGATGGGGGCGTCAGGGTGTCGCGCAAACGATACATTTAGACTCGATTGCCATATTGCTGGTGTAGTGTAAAGTGTGGGCGTGAGCGTCAATGGAAAGCGATGATGATGCAACCGCAGGTCTACCAAGACCTCGCGCACCGACAAGATCGGCATGTCGCACTGACAGATGTCGTCAATGGCTCCTAGATATTGAGCATGACCAATGATTGCGTGCCAAAGCCCCGCTCGCTCATGAACTGGGGTGTCCTCCCTCGAAGACTGTCGAAGCGGGTCTCGTCCGTCCGAGTGGAGAAGGCGCATGCAGGGCTCAGCAGAAAATGGCGCCATGATGTCATTGGATGGGTCCAGGTAAATTTCAGGGTCCTTTGATGATGTCATGGAATGAATGACAACGGGGTCGTCGAGACCCTGAAGCAACTGATTCCCAACTCAGAAGTGATTGGCATCTGCCGCACATCCTGACGGAAAATTCAAATGTGGTTTCCACGTCTGCGGTATTTGCCAGGGAGTTCCACATCAGGGTGACACACCCTGTAGTGTCTTGTCAGGGCGTCAGCCCGGCTGAACGTCTTTTCCTCGCTACAGAGATCGCACCGTACTTTCTGTTTCCGAGCATTGTGAATAGTGTCCTCGTGCCGAGTAAGGTCGTATGGTCTTGAGAATATGGTATTGCACGATTTCCCGGTGCTAGGATTGATCCTGTCGCAGCGGTGTGGCCCAGCTTGACTGTTGAGAAGATTGGCAGCAGCATCCACAGGCTCAGATTTGGTGTCGACGTGTTTCGGCGGCATGCCCAAACCATGAGGCTGGCGATGCCCCTCTCTCTTGTGCTTTTGCAACAAAACGGGTGTCTCGAAGCGCAGAGTACATCCGTGATATGTGCAAGTGTATGTTCCGCCATCGGCAGTCGCACCGGCAGGCTTCGAAAGTGCCGCTGGCGTGGCCGATGAGCTACTTGAACTGGATCCCGCAGGGCTGACTTCTGATGTTGCCTGCTGGTGTTGCTGAGCGTGAGCGATAAATGGATAGTGCTGCGGAATTTGTACGCTTGCGGGTAAATGTTGCGCCATGTAGGGGAATGTAATCGGGGGCCCGTTCGCAGCAAGATGTCTCGAGAAATCAGTCAATTGCTCACTTGACGACTGATTATTGGAGGGTAGCTGTGAAACCCCAAAGTCCGTAGGGTTTGACTGAGTAAACAGAGATGGAAAGTTAGAATCCGCGTCGCATCCCTGAAACTCTAGCATAGCATCCTTAGGCGAGATGGTCTTTGGCGTATCTGCTCCGCTTTCATCGCGAACTGTTGCCTGAA